CAATCATAGCTGCAATATGCGTTCAGGATCTGGTCAAAACTATCACCACCAAGGAAAATCGGTTTAGATCTAAATTTGGGCCGAATTTCCAACCAGGAAAGAAAAACTGATGAATAACAAGGAAGTGGGATTTTCCCAAGAAGCTGCTTAGAAGGAAGAAAAAATTTGTGCGTCTGAGGGTACATCAAAAGGAGCCCTGACAAGTGAAACGATTGAGAAATAGGGAGCAAGTGCAGATGAAGTCCCTAATCCAATTAGACTCTCAACATTATAGAAACAATGGGGCATCCTAATGAGGCTTTATTCCATTTTGCAACATCCTGTTTGAATTTACTTTTTGAACTTTCTCATATTTCTTTTTGTAACTTATTTTTTGAACTTTCTCATATTTCTTTTTATAAGGATATTTAAATGAATTTATGCTGAGCATTGAATCATATTTACAACTTGAAATTCTTTGGATATCAATTGAGTTAAAAAACTTTGAAAATGATCGGAGTTATAGATATTTGACAAAGTGACATAATTAAAATTGGTAAAATAATGACCCTTTGTTTACCCCAGAAGATAACTCGAACACTATATCCTTCTCTAGCAGGGACCGATATAGCCTTCTCATTTCATAAGGGAATGAACAAGAAGCTTGGTATTAGGTATGTATAGGAGCGGACAACATGGGGCATCTCTTGTGTATGACATTACTATACTTTTGTTGAGGACGTTCAATGATGATGATGATCTTAACAGATGAAATAGTCGAGTAGGTGAATCTACTTTTGGTCAATTGTTTGGAAATTGAACTCTAAAGATGAGATTTTCTTACTTTCAACAACACCTAGACTATAACAGGTTCTTCTTGACAAGCTTAAGAAATTGGATCCGTATACCCAGATTATAATATTATATATATACAATAAAGCTTGAGTTGTCCCTCTAGAGCAATTGGTTAAACGTCCTGGCTTTATGGATAAGATTCAGCTAGCCTGATAAAGGTGATTATAATATTGAGCTATCCCTCTAGATCAATTGGTTAAATGCCCCTTTTAGGATAAGATTCAGCTAGCCAGACAATGACAAATTATTTAAATAAGGAGTTTCGGTAAAGATGGACTAAGGGAGTTAATGAACACTTGTTATAGTCAATTTCACACGAGTACTCAGGAATTTCATTTTTAGACCGATATTTCTGCACTGCCTTTGTTTGAGAAGTCTACGAAGCTTGAACAAATGGAAGATTTCAGAGGACCGAAATAGAAGGTCTAGTAATTGATTATGCTAGTTGCGTCATTTTGTTTGCACCCGATTAAAATACCAAGCCAAAGAAAAGGGGCATGTTGTAATGTTCAACATGACCGAGAAAAAATGATATTTTGGTGGCCGAAAACCTTAAGAAATAGGAAGCCAACCTGAAGCCAACTCATCAATTTGGATATTTTTTCAAAGAGCTATAACTCTGAAACATTAAAGTTCTATTGATTCTTTGATTTTCTGTGAACTCATGTTCATAATTTGATTCTATTGTGAGCCTGAATTAAGGGGAAATGTTTTATGAAACTCTTATATTCTTTTTTTTCCCTATAATAAAAGAAATGAGAAAAACATTTTTAAACAGGACAATCTCAAATGTGAAAGGTCCTTGAAGCTGATGAGACTAATTTTGCCTCTATTGAAGAAGAATAAGGCACCAGAATAATGGAGCATTGCACATTCTTGAAAGCAAATAGTCCGAGTGATCAGATATAACTTGTGACATTGTCAACAACCCGAGAAATGGGGCATGGTCGATTCCAAGGACAAGACAAAAATGAGGCTCATCTAGGAGATAAAACAAGAACTAATTCATGTTGCTACATCTTAGACATACTTAAGAGCATCACATTTACCATTTTTTAGCATACTTTTTTGCAGCTTTAGAGTCAAGTTTCTTCAAGACGAAATACTCGATTCATAAACACATTCAAAAAAGTCAACGGTGGTTGTTTAACTCAGCGGTAGGGAGATACAAATCAACCAATTTGACCAATTAAAAGATCGACAAATCCTAGAATCAACTTTAGATGGGTTCAAGAGCCAATTCAGAATGGATCTAGTTCAGCTTAACTCAACGACGAGTGGCTAGTTTCCAGTTAACATTTTCAAGCCAGATTTTAACTCCACGAAGGATGATATCTGGCTCACAGAATATACCACTTGGTTTTCCTTAGAAGGGGAGTCATTTAAAGAATTATGATCAGCTTAGACCCGCGAAGGGTGGTCATCCTTCATTTAGAGGAAATTTACAGCACAACTTAAGTTGAGAAAATCTGTCTGTCAACAAATAACTTTCCAATTCATATTTCGAGCTAGATTTCAACTTCAATGCGAAAAATATCGAACTCGAAACGACACAACTTATACAAGATTGAATTTCAACTTCACACAATGAGGGATCTAAACCAAAAACAATTTGGCGAAGCACTAAAACTCAAGATTGGATTTCAATTTCACAACGGAAGATATATAACTCAAAGCTCAACTTCACAGCGAATGAGCCATCCACAATTTCAATTTCACGACGAAGGATATCGTACCTAAAATATTGACCCAACTTTACGACGAATGAGTCATCTGTGACATAACTATGAAAAACCAGTTTCATTCAGAGTCAATTTCAACTTCACAACGAAAGATATTGAACTCGAAAACAATGCAATTTTGTATTTAAACTTTACAACGAAGGACATCAAATTTAAAGCTCAACTTGACAGCGAAGGAGCCATCCACAATTTCAACTTCACGATGAAGGATATCGTGCCCAAATGGATAGATTTAGTTTCACAACAAATGAGTCATATGCAACCATAGGGGGTTATCTCCCAGCCTATTACAGTATAGTTCAAGGCGAGAATGGCTATCTGTCAACAGCAACCTTCGAGTTCGATTCCATTCAGCTCAAGGGCATATCAAATTTACAACATAGCTCAAGGCGAGAAGGGTTATGTGTCAACAAAAAACCTTCGAGTTCGATTACATTTAGTTCAAGGGCATATCAAATTTACAGCATAGCTCAAGGTGAAAAGGGCTATCTGTCAACAAAAACCTTTGAGTTCGATTACATTCAGCTCAAGGGCATATCAAATTTACAGCATAATTCAAGGCGAGAAGAGTTATCTGTCAACAAAAACCTTCGAGTTCGATTTCATTCAGCTCGATGACAGCGAGGAACTACTTTCCGATTAAAGTTTAAGCCGAGGTCTTTAAGTCAAGAAGAAGATCTGGGGCAATCTCTTAGCATAGTACAACATAGCTTAAGTCGAGAAAAGATATCTCTCAACAAAAACTTTCAAGTTCGATTCCAATCATCTCGAGGGCCTATCAACTACATGGTAGTGTCCAGGAACTACTTTCCATTCAAATTTTCAAACCAAGGTCTTTAAATCAAGGAAAAGACCAAGGTTGATTACGATTTGGCCGCAAGAAGCCATCTTCCGATTCAACTTCTGAACTACGATTTCGATTTCATGAATATCATTTCAAGACCGACTCAACTTCGCGAAGGAGAAGTCATCCACAACTCAATTTAACAGGGAATTATTCCTAATTGTATTCAGAGTCACTTTTCAACTCCACAAGGGAGGATATTAGACTTAGAAACCCTTTCATACCGAGCGAAAATTTTTGTTCTTTTATCTTTGTCCTATTTTTCGTTACACGAAAAAAGACAAAGAGGGGCAGGTGTAGACACTTATTTTCGTCCAGAGTTTATATATATATATATATATATATATATATATATATATATATATATATATATATATATATATATATGTGTGTGTGTGTGTGTTAATATAGTATAATTTTTGAAAATATTTTTTGAAAATATATATTATATAGTTTTTAGAAAACGGTTTTTTTGAAACATATAATTATACTGTTTTAAAAAAAAGCGGTTTTCGAATATATATTATATAATTTTAAAAACATTTTGGAAAATATATTATAGTTTTGAAAACGTTTTGAAAATACATATAATATATAGTTTTGGAAAACATTTTGAAAATATATATAATATATAGTTTTTGAAAACATTTTGAAAACATATATATTATATAGTTTTTGAAAATATTTATATTTATATGTATATTATATATTATATTGTATATATATATATATATATGATATTATGGTATTATATTATATGTATTATTTATTATGGTTTATTATTTTCTTTTTTCTTTTTTTTTTTATTTTCTTTTTTATTTGGTCCAAGTTCAGAGAGTCCAGCATCGACCCATAAAGGAAGCCCAACCGAGCCTGCAAGCCTGACCCAGCAAACAAGCCTGGATCAGTGACTCAACCATAACCTGGTTCAAGCCCGATCCAATTCGGACCCGACCCAAACCGATCCAGTGCAGATTAAGGTTTTCTAACCCTAAGATATCAACAGCCGCCAACATCTCCACCGTTGGATCAAGATGAGATCCAACAGTCCCCAATAGAGTTTAATTTTAGGGTTTCTAACAACCCCAAATCACACAACTGCATCTATCAACGCCACCCCTGGATTTTCAGTCCACATAGGACTAATCAACAAACAACAAACAACCAACAACAAACAAATAGCATTTCAGTCAAATGTAAACTCTTGGATGAACGAAAAAGGGGACCTTTTGATGCTATAAATCCCTGCAAAAATAGGTTAGAAACACAAGACAATCACGAAAAACCATAAGATCGAAGCAAAAAAAAAGACTTGTAAACTCTCGAAAACGCAATAAAAAGGTAGCTTTTTTGCTTTTCTCGGTGGTACGATTGCATGTGGGTATTCTTTTATTCTTTTGCTTTTTGATTTTGACTCAAAAAACCCAAAAAAAGAGGGATGTTGATGATCAGAGGGGGCATTCGAAAGATCTTTTTCAGATCTAGCCCTCCCCGAGGATTGTTTTTAAAACAAATGTGATTTTTGAAGAAAAGATATGAAGAGCTTTGGAAAGATGGTTTTTTTTTGGGTATCATCACCGATGAACGGCGGCCAGCTCGGCGGTGGCCGATCGGAAACTGGGTTTGGGGCTCGTATTCTTCATTTGCTGAAGAACACAATGAACAAGGAGAGAAAATGGAAATTTCGTTTTGATCGATTTTTGAGAGAAGAGGAAAATGAAATTGCTTTGTTAATATTTGAGTTTTATACTAGACCATTGGACTAATAACCCGACCGAATCTTAGGAGATCCTCGGTTTTTGTTTGGATTAGGGTTAATTGCGACCATAGTCCATGTATTATTTATAAGTTCTTTCTGCACTTTTAATTAATTTTAACTTCGTTTCTTTTAAATTCATCACATTTTTCTTTTCTTTAATTTAATCCTTTCTTTATTTAATTCACGTTTTAATTTTTTTTTTTATTTCTTTCATTTCATTTCTTTTTCTTTTTATTTAGCTAACATTTTTTGGTTTTTTTATATTATTTCATTTATGTCTTTTTTAATAAGCCATTTTATTTTATTTTTCCTTCCTATTTAATTCGGTTTTGTCCCTATTTTCCTTTTTGTTTTTATTTTTATTGTCCTTTTAAATTTAGTTTTTTTTCAGTAATTGTTTATATTAATTTCACAATTACCATTTTTTCTTTACCGTTTATTTCATTTAATTCAGCATTTTACTTTACCAATCTAACATCTTTTTGACCATTTAAGGGTATTTTTTAAATCGATTAGGGTAAGTAATTTGGATCAAATTTTACTTTCAATTTAACTTGCAAATTTCTTAATTAAGAAATTGGAAATTAGATTAGTACCGAAAGGGCAGTTCAAGGGTGCTAATCATTATTTGATTGTAATCGACTCTCGAATCCAACATATCTTTGGTAAAAGCAGATCAGGTAAGAATGGAGGTATCCGATCAACCCATTTTGTTCTTAAAATAAATGATCGGTGGCGACTCTAACCCGTTTACTTAAGTCGAAGCCCACCAGAAAGACGGTTGCGATAAAAAGATTATGTATGGTTTCATGGACATCCAAGTTATCTAAGTTGGTAAGGCAAGGCCAGCCAGAGGAAGCCATTTGCTTGTTCAAGAGAATGCTATTGCTGATGAGTAATCAAAGGACAAACTATGTTACAATTTTAAGCTTAATAAAGCCTTCGATGCTCTGAATTGGGATGCTCAAGCCCACCAGAAAGACGGTTGCGATAAAAATGATTATGTATTGGTTTCATGGACATCCAAGTTATCTAAGTTGGTAAGGCAAGGCCAGCCAGAGGAAGCCATTTGCTTGTTCAAGAGAATGCTATTGCTGATGAGTAATCAAAGGACAAACTATGTTACAATTTTAAGCTTAATAAAAGCCTTCGATGCTCTGAATTGGGATGCTCCAGTAATGATGGTTCATGTAATGGTGGTGAGAATGGGGTTTATATCAGAGCCCAGGGTCTTATTCCGTTTATGATATGGAAACTTGTTGGAGTTTGTTTCATCAAATACCCGATAAGGATGTCGTGTTATGGAGTGCTATGGTTGCTGCCTGTGTTAAGAATAAGGACTATCAGTAAGCTCTTGAGTTGTTTAGAGAACGCAGATTTTGGGCTGAAAGTTAATCATATTATTATCAGCATTCTGCCTGCCTGTGCTAACATTGGCGCTCTACAATCGGGCAGAGAAATGCACGGTTTTATTATACTAAGAATGTTTTATCGTGTTGTTAGTGTTCATAATTCATTGGTTGATATGTATGCAAAGTGTAGGAGTCTTGAGACTGGAATTCATGTTTTTGATGGGATGTTGAAGAAGGACTTGGTTTCTTGGAGGATTGTGATCCGTGGTTATATCGAGAATGAACGTTGTATAGAAGCAAGTAATGTTTTTTCAAAGATGCGGCTGTTGTCTTTCTTTGCGCCAGATGAATTTGTTGTCCAGGATATGATAATGGCATTGCTACAATCTGGAGGGAGTAAAATTGGATCAGCATTTCATTGTTACATTCTGAAAATGGCTTCTTGGATTTTGTTTCCTTTGCAACTGCACTTCTGCAGATGTATGCTAAGTTTGACATGGTAGGTTCAGCTAGGAGTGTATTCGATCAAATTGGCTGTAAAGATTTCATTGCTTCGAATGCAATGATCTCAGCTTACACCCAATGCATGTTACCTCTTAATGCTGTGGATACATTTACACAGATGTTATTTATGAACATGAAACCCGATTGCTTCAGTTTAATAGTCTATTGCAAATGTGTTCTTTGATGTCATCCCAAGAAGCATCTAATGAACTTGGAGATAGCATCCATGCGTTCATAGGAAAAGTTGGTTACTCGAGGAATGTTTATTTGTCATCAGCCTCGATAGATTTCTACTGCAGATTCGGAAGGGTCAAGCAGGGACGGCTCTTTTTGACGAAGTTCCCTTCAAAGATCTCATTTGTTGGAGTTCAATGATTAATGGATATGTTTTAAATGGTTATGGAGTTGAGGCTCTTGATACATTCTCAAATATGTTAGATTGTGGGATAAAGCCCAATGAAATTACTTTTCTTTCAGTTTTATCTGCTTGTAGTCATTTTGGGCTAGAATATGAGGGTTGGAACTGGTTCATTCCATGAAAGAGAAGTATAATGTTACCCCTAAACTTGGGCACTATGCATGCATGGTGGATTTGCTCAGTCGCCAGGGTAATATTGAGCAAGCCCTAGACTTTGTGAAGAAAATGCCAATGGAACCAGATAAAAGAATCTGGGGAGCTCTTCTTGCTGGTTGTAGATTAACACCTGGGAAAATTGAGATTGTAGAGCTTGTTGTTGAACAGCTTGCTACATTGGACCCTCAAAATTGTACTCACTGTTACATGATTTTATCAGACCTATATGCAGATGAAGGTAGAAGGGAAGATGTAGAGATGATGAGAAGATTGGTGGATGAGAATGCCTAGAGAGAAAGGTTGGATGCCTCAGTTGTTTGTCTTCTTTACATTATATCAATTGATTTTATGAGTAGCCAGTAGTTAAAGCAATTGATACTCTTCCTCTGTATGCAATTCATTTTGTGTTGCGTTGAATTATAAATTTGTAATTTTGTAAAACATGAGGTCTTTTCTTTTTGGAATCCAAGATCTTTCTGGTATACTACTAATATTGTTTATCTCTCATTTCATTTATGATTCGGAATGTTTCATGTTCCTGAAGCTTTAACCGAGTTGGAGACAGGATTTATTTTCCTTAATTTTGTAGTTTGTTAAGCTCCTTCGCCAGTTATAATGAAATGTTCAATTGTGCACGAGTTCAGACATTATTTTTCTGCAAGAATCTATAGATTGTTTAATATGGTTTTTTTTTTTTGAAAAGTAAGGATTTTATAGATTGTTTAATATGTTGTTCCTGGAATCTAAGTAAAACAGAATTGGATTTAGAAAAAACATGCTTTAGTTTAAACGCGGTACAGCTCTGTTTCTATCTCTCTAGAAGAAAAAACATCATACTAAATGAAGACTAAGCTTTAGACTAAGCCTCGATCTATCTTGGCAGTTGCAAGACCTTGTTGGATATAAAAATAAGCTACTATTGATGAGAACTGTTCCAGTTTCAGTATACAAAAACATTTTCCATGCAGTAATATTGGGTTCTTCTTGGGAGTTTGAAGTGTCGAATTTATGGCTAGAAGTTACTCCAATTGGCACTTTAAAATCAAAGTAAATGTGTTATTAAATGAACTTTTAAAACTGATTGCATTAACTTTTTTCAACCTTTTCACATATAAATCCTTCATATTAATCACTCTATTGCGGTCTTGCTCCCTTAATTACAGAACTAAGTTTGCCCCTGTTCTATCTCCAGATTATCTCACTCATGAAAGTAGGAATCCTTGAAGTTCTTGTCGTAAATGCTGAGGATATTAGACACACTAATCTTCTTGGTATATCTCTCCCCCTATCTGTGCATCGTAAATATGTCCTGTTTTATCATGTTTTTCTCAACAGCTTTTTGTTCTAACTTTTAACAGTTTGGTCATAGGAAGACCTGCCTACTATGTTATATTACAGTGCGGAACTAAAGAATACAGAAGCAAAACGTACCGGGTTCGCTTTCTACTTTTTAGTTAGGTCTATTGATGACCTGTAACTACTAATTTTGTCCTTCCGGGGTCTCTTGAAACGTGACGATTGTTTTGTGATTCAGGAAAACATAAGAAAGTACTGTTGAATGAGAAATTCAAGTTCAATTTTCCGCAATCCGAATGGGAAAAGTTGACTTATGTCAAATTCAAGATCATGGACAAGGAATTCTTCGAAGACAATGGATTTGTTGGTGAAACCAAGTAATCTATTTTCTTTCTCTCCATGATATGTTTTTTTTCTTACCTCCTTTCTCATTGCCTTGATACCTGAATTCGCATTTAAACTAACCCGAATATATTTTACCTCCAGAATTCACCTTGGTGGAATTATTACCGAGGGGACCGACACAGGATTTATAGAAGTGAGACCAGCTCCAATACAATGTAGTGCTTGAAGATGATACATATAAAGGACAGATCAAGACTGGATTTAAATTCATTGCTAATGTGAGTTTACTTAGACCCAAAGTTCCCATTTCCCTTTTCCCATTTAGTTAGCTTGCCAAGAAGATTACTTATTCCAAAAAAAAAAAAAATAGCTTGCCAAGAAGATTAAATTCATTTGCTAAAATTTGCAGAAAGAAGTGGAAAATGAGATTCAAGAACTTGATGCGCTGCCTGATGAACCGAGATCAATTTATAGCTGCATCAGGTGTCTGCGGAACCTCCGTATATTTATATCTCTTTAAACTCAAGAATTCCAAAAAGGAGCACAAAGATGATTAAGAGGAAGAACAGCACAAGTCAGTTGCATGTGATTTAATGTAGGATTGTGACTTTTGGTCTGAAAATCTCTATGAACTAGAAAAATAAGACTTTACACCAATTTTGCAAAAGGACCTAACATGCCACAGGGTTCAAAGAAATGGAAGGCACGTCCATCTCAATGAATTATTTGCAAAAGTTTCTATTTGACCCAGGAATTATTACTCCCGAAGACTTGTTGTTTATTTCCAAGGTAACCATGCCAACTTCTTGGGGCCCCTATTAATAAAAGTTTCTAAAACATGCAAGCAAAATACAAATTTCCCATGTTTGATGTATCCCATGAAAATCAAGTTAAATTTGGTAAAAATTTACAGAGTCAACTACTAAAATAAGTTTGATCTCTTTCAAATAAGATTTTATTTCAAATATTATAAAAAAATTATCTTTTGAAATGAGATTTGACTTGATTTGATTCTAAATAATAAAAAAACTTTAACCAAAAACTTGTTATTATAGTTGGATGCGGCACTAGGTCTCTTAAGAAGGTTAGGGGTTCGAATCTTGGCCATTTGTGAATAGAGCTCGTCCTCGCCTCTGCAGTACCCGATCTGGATTAGTCGATCAATAGATCGAATACCAGTGATTAATTCAAAAAAAAAAATTAAATAACTTTATGACTCTAAACACCAAAGATCTAAGACTAGAGCAGATATCATAGTGAAAATCCTAATTTTACTTGCTTAAAAAAACCCCTTAATCTTTTCCAACTCGTTATTCTTCACATGTTTTCCAAAACATGAATTATGAATAATTTGTTATAAATTATTCCAAAAAGCTTTTAAATATTACATAATCCAATCATAACGTGATAAATCAACTCATTTTAGGTAAGTTATTATAGTAATCTTCTCATAATGAGCCCTCACATGGTAACCTACCTATGATAGGAAAAAAAACTCTAAATACATGGATCGGTTTCAGGGTTAAAAGATAGAGTTTCTGACACTATCTCTGGAAATTAGAAGTTTTAATTTTTTTAAAAAAATAGTTGAGATTCTTCCTCACCAAACTATAAAACATTCATCCCGTATTTGCAATCATATAATATAACCAACCTCAAACCTCAAATATTCACATGTAATACACAAATAAAGCGCACTCTGCATCTTATATGAAATAATACTCTTTCAACCAAAAAGCCAGAAATTTTTGCAACTTTCTTTTTCTCCGGAGTATCAAATCAAACCCTATTTTTCTCCAGATTCTGAAACCGGGTTTTATTTTTGGGTTAACTATGTAGTTGATCACTTATCTTTGAGTTTTGTCCACTTTTGGTCATTGATTTCAAAATACATAAGATATGGTCACTTACGTTTTTATTTAAACAAGATCTGGTCACTTTCGTTTTTATTTAATTAAGATGTGGTCATAACTGCCGCTAAAAACAGTTAAATATTTTATATAATCACACATTTGGTCATTGTTATTATATATTCTCTCAATTTAGTCATATTTTTAATAAATTAAAATAAATTTAATCTTCTAATCAAACAATGCCACATGTCATGCCAATAAGGTTGTTAAAACAATTCTACCCGATTGAGTTGACCCATCGACTCGCTGACCCAATTAAAAAATATCGAGTATTTATAATAAAAATATTCGATTTTCCATGTCGGGTACCCAACCGAGTTTCTGGGTCTAGCATGGGTCACAAAATGTTGTTTAACTGAGTACCCACTGACCCGATACTCGATTTATTATATTTTTTTTATTTTATATTAATTTTTTATTCATAATCCTCAAATTATTGCACACTAACATTCTAAAATCTTAATTTATTAAATTTTGACACTATAACGTTCTAAATTCTTAATTTTTTAAATTATTTCACATTAACATTCTAAATTATTTTTTAAAATATTTATTTTAACTTCAAAACATTTGAAATTAAATTATATTTCTTTATCTTAAATTTTAATAAATTTTATTTCCATTATTTAATTTGAATTTTTAAAATTTTTGTGGATTATATATATTATAAACTTTTAAGTTTTAAATTTTAGAATTTTTTATATACCCTTTTAAAAAATAATATAATTTAAAGAACAAATAAAAAAATTATGAACCGAGTATCCGTGACTTGAATTGTATATAATATAATTTTATATATATATTAAATTAAAATATTTTTATATTACTTTATTAAATATATTTTACTATTAACTTAATTTAAAAATATTTTATTTTTATTTTTATTTCATTTGAAAATATATAATTTATTTTAATTCATTAAAAGTATGATTAAGTTGAGATAATATGTAAATAGCAGGGACCAAATGTGTGAATATATCAAAATATTTAACTGTTGTTAACGACAGTTAGCTTAGGTGACCAAATCTTGTTTAAATAAAAACGTAAGTAACTATATCTTATGCATTTTGAAATCAGTGATCTATAGTGAATAAAACTCAAAGATAAGTGAACTATGTAGTTAACCCTTGATTTTTTGTTGTTTAAAACCAAAAAGAAGCGAGTGATCGGACGGTTGAGAACTCAAGATCCCTTTTTTCATGATCATGGGAATGGAAAAAGAAAGTGTTTCTTTTGGAGAGAAAAGGTTACGACGGCAGCAGAAATGCTTAGGAGGGAACTGTTTCAAACGTTCTCACTAGCTATCTCAACGGTTCCCGAATTCAAATTCAATACTTGTAGTACCCTTTAATGGTAAGTTACTGGAAAAGAAAGTTGTTTCATCATCAAACCGTTGGCTTTGCTTTACATT